AACAACTTACAAATGACTTACTGACAGGGTTAATATTATGTGACATGATAGCCTGCATTAATAATCAACCCATGTACGAATAAGTAGATGGTCACAAAAAAACTTAAAAATATTGACTTGTATCATAAGATATGATGATGCTCGCTTATTTAACAACATAAAGGGTGATAATATCACGTGGCATAATAGCGTGCGTGCGTTAGAAAACAACTTTTAAGTGAATAAGAACGATATCATGATGGTGTGCGCACATTAGCAAACAACTTACTTATAAACAACGACGTGGATACAGAAATTATTGTATTAAATGGTTTGGGTGCATTTGCATGGTACTTATAAGTAAGTGGAGGATAATAATTTCCTAGACATGATGGAACACACGCGTCTACTGACAAAGTAGATACTAATATTATGATAATATAAATGCCATGTTTGTGTTAGCAAAGTACTTAACTTAAGAATTGGTTGATGATCATACTATCCCACTATCTAATGCCTTGAACACAACTTGTACGTGAGTGAAGGGAGAATAGCTTTAATGGATTTAATGGTGAGTGCGCATGAAGGTTATAGTCAAATACGATAGGATGGTGTGCGCGCAACAAACTAAATAAGTCGAATGTCACACGATATCATGGAGTGCGCCTTATCAAACAACTTATAAATAATAAATGCATGAAATGTGATGGTGCGCGCGCGTTTGTTAACAAACTACTGGCGAAGCAGAGGTTAATAATCTCGTTCGATCCGATGACCTTACAAGTAAAAGTGGAGGGTGATGATATAATGTAATTTGGGGGAATGCGCGCGTTTGTCAACAACTTCCTACCAACGAAGTAGGAGCTCAAGACACGTACGATAAAAGGGGAAAAGATATAATATGGTACAATAATAAAGGCCTGGCCGCGTTACAGGTGTTAAAATGTTACATTTTAGGTCATAATATCGTACCATTTATTTGCATTCCTTCGTATCATGCAAGTAAATAAAAGTAAATATCGCACGAAACGGCGTAGGTAAGTTAAAAAACCCCTTGGCGTTGAACTACACTAGAGTGATAAGACCATAAGAGAGAATGACGAATGCAAAATAGGCAAAGACTTAATATTAACACTAGAAATTGGAGAGATAAATGATTAAAACTTTAAAATAAATAGCTATTATCACTCATCAAGGCCAGAGTCAAAATTCACCCTCAATGTATAGGATTAACTTCATTTAAATCAACAACTTCACGTGAATTGTTGAATGCTTCACCTTCGATGTTTAAGTGCAGGAGTCAAATGGGTCAGTTTTTCCAGACGAGGGTCTCTCAGTTGCTTTTATGGATATGTATAAACATCCATTTTTAGAAACAGTTTTTGCTTACACTTTCCTGGAGCTATTTTCAACGAGTTATGGTTCACATTCTTTCAAGTGTGCTTTGACCCAGCCGGAGCGGTCTTTGATTGAGGGGTTCAGCTGGCCCGGGGTTTTCCTCCAAGGGGCAAGTGGACCCACGAGGAGGTTTTTTCACCCAGCTGTTGTTCCACAACTCCTCTTTCATTTGTAAATGACTTGATAAAACTGCGTTATACATGTATCCAGGTTAAAACCATGAATAAAAAGTAGACTTCGCATCAAACGTCTTCCTTGTGGCTGCATTTGTGGGATATTCTTTAAAGAATTTGAAATGTTGCCAAGTAATGGTGGAAACGTCATCCCCTTTTTTAAGGTCTTCATGGGAATAACGATATAACGAGGATAAGGAGGCATAAAACCATTCATTTTGCAGCGACTGACATTTTCTTCTTAAAAGCCCACTTGTCGATTCGTAACGAAGAATAATAGACCTTTTTAGCATGTACGTTCAGAGAACAGTTTCTTTCAAATGTCGTCTTATGCGTGTTTATATGTACGCAAAATGTTCCTTGAGAACATCACGTGGTCTCAACGTACATGCTAAAAAAAGGTCTATTCACGTAAATAAAGGTGAATATCGGTGAAAATCCATACAAGGCTACCTTTTAACCACAAAACTACCACCAGAATTCTGATTCAAGAATTCTTGACAGCCTTATTGAAGGGCTAAGAAGGACCATATTTGAACGTTATGCAGCATCACTTGAGATTTATCACTTCTCATTTCTTGGTAAGACGTGGTAA